GAAATGTTCCTAGGGAGATGAAAGAGACTATTAAAGTTTGGGAAATGCTGCCCAGCAATCTGGGCTTAGAGATACACTATGCACAAAGGCATATGATAGGCTCTAAGAATTTCACAGTAAAACCTGGATCAGGTTTTTCCTGTTGTGGGTTGTGCTCTCTGATGTAGACACTGAGATGGAGTTCTGGGTGCCAGGGAAATACATCAGTCACTGGATGAGGAAGACCAACAAGGGGGTTCTCCACAGTTGAAGCCCCCCTGCAGGAGCTGAGAGCTGAAGGCAGTCTGAGGACCTCAGTCTGCTCTCCACACTTCTGTAGCTCAGCCCCAGTTCTTCCTTAAAGAGAGTGGATTTCCATAATGATCACATTTGGCTACACCAGTTTCTATGCTGCACAATACACTTTAGAAAAGGATGCTTTAAACTTTTAAGAGCAAAGAAGTTATCTCTCCAATATTAATTAAGCTGCCAGAGAGAACACTGCACTCCATGACCACTGCTCTCAGATGTAACTTTGCTTTTATTCTTTTGTGTCTGTCCCCAGTAGTATGTTCCTGGTAATATAATGTAAGTTAATCAAGGAGTGTATTTGCTTGGCATAGTATTTACAAGACATCATAGAAGTAGACAGTATTTTTTTATGATACCCTCTTTTCTCCTACTGCCTTCTTTAAAACCTTACATGTTTAACATCATGAAACCTCCTTGGCTCCTAAATACCTTAGATTCAGGAAAAACCATTATGGCCACAGTTCAGTATAATTAAAGAAGCACCAGAACTGGATGCCTCTGAAGGACAGCCACCTGGATGAGAGTCACCAATACTAACCACCTGCTCTATGTAAGTGATGTCAATTCCTCTTACCTTCCTCTATAAAAATTGGTTAAGTCAATATATGCGAAAAAAGTTTTGCAAATTTCAAAGCACCCTAAAACACAGGGGACTTGCTTTGTCATTATTATCATTACCATCCTCATCAAACTTGGCAAAATTATTATTACATAAGTAATAGAATACAATCACACAGAAAGATTTAGAAGAGTTCAGCTCTCATTTGACTGTACATTTGTTCATTCAACAAATATTTCTTTAGCATCTCTGCTGGGTCAGGCAATGTTTTTGGTGCTCATACCAAAGGATGAGAGCCTTATTGCAGGAAAAGAGCCACCAGCGGTAAAAGGTTTAATAAGATGTGTATGTAATTTGTTGTTGGCAGAGCTCTGACTTCAAGCACAGCCACCTATTAATTAAAGCCGATTATTAGTACTACAAATCTGTGCCAGAGTACAAGCAAGGAGAATTCCCCCATTGTTTAATATTTACCATCTGGGTCTCGCCCTCTCATCACTATTAGGGCACAAGCAGTGGCTCCTTTGAAAACTACTTGACACTCAATTCCCCAAGTGTGCTTCCACTCAGAGACACTGATGACAAGAAGCACCTGGTAAGTGCAAGAACTGTGCTATCAAGACAATAGAAATGGAGAGTACAAGAGAGCCCTGCTTGATCTCAGGGAGAAAGCATTTTCCACAGCCTCTGTGGCACTGTCAGCATAAAGGGTTGGGGAGCATATGGCAAAGAAGGAAGGCGACTTACAGTCTTTTTCTAAAAATTAGAGCTCTGTTAAAAACTTTCCAGGGCTCTCAAACATCTGAATCATGTATTTCACTCATCTAAAATGTTCCATATTGTTACATAACACAGAATAAATTAATAACATCTTCACTGTATCTCAAACACCTGCGATTACCATCTCTTGGAGTGTGGAGAGGTGGCTCAAAGCAAAGAAGACAGAATAGGAAGAGAGGGAGGGAGAAAGAGAAAATGAATTTGGTGTATTTCACTTCATTGACTGTCAGGAGATTTTATAAATTACTGGGGAAAGATATTTAGACGAAATTTAAATTTACTGAATTATTTAGTAAACAGATGCCAAGTGGAAATGCATAATTTATTGCTAATATGCATAAGCTAGTATAAGGATTCCAAGGCTTTTCCTTGTTTGCTAGACTAAAATATTCCCATATAACCTTGTACATTTGTGCAGAAATAGTCACATTCAATCAGTTTTCAGTTTAGTTCAACAATTTTTTATACAATATATACATTTTCTTAGGTGTTTTGAGGGGTACAGAAATAATTGAAGACAAAGGACTTTAAAGAAGACAAATATATAAACACCAAGAATTTTTTCCAGATTCATCTCTTTTACCAAATATCTTATAATGCTTGCCTTGCTACATTAAGCTACTTTTGGCCATATTTTCACATTTCTGGGGTCTGGAATGGATCTCCCCACTTTTCAGCCCTGTAAATGTTCCTTCACAGCACAATTCACAGGCACTTTTCTCACCTCCCCAGCTACTGAGTTGATTATTATATTTAATATATGCACTTGATAAAAATATATTATAAAACATATCACAGAGTGTGGCAATTGGTTTAGATAAAATGTCAATCAATAGCATGTAAGTTCTTCCTTGGGCTTAGGGAAGATGCCTTATTCTGCTCAGGAAATGGACACAGTATTATTATTATTATTACTGAAATAGTAAACACTGTGAGAAATGGAGTGAAGGGAATTATGAGGTTATGAATATATGCAGAAAAATACACAGAACGGGGATTCTTAAACTTTAGCCCCCACATCCATGCCTCGGTTTCTTATCCCTAAAAACTAAAAATTTCTTATAATGACAGAATTTACCTCATAACATTTTATGAGAATAAAATGAGAAACGCATAAGGAGTTAATTCAAAAAGTGGACTGGAACTAGTTGAAGAGTTAAAACTTGGAAGGGAACAGTACTAACATGTGGTGAGCTCTCAGAGAAGCGGGATAGTGATGATGACATCTATTCTCATTGATTAGGTAGTTCAGTAGCAAATTATTTGAGTAGGTGGATGTGAAAAAGATTTAGTTTTAGCTTCTGTCCTGACATGAACTCACCAGGTAGCCTCTGTAAAATATTTCACTTCCTGAGTCTTAGGAAAAAGCAATGCAAAAACTGGTCTGGAACCAGGAAAAATAATAATAATCCAAAAAATGAAGGGAAAATGGAGAACATTTTTGCTCAGCTTTCTTCCATCCCTTAGTCTCATTTTGACTGTGTAGGCAAAGATCTCCTGTATTAATTTAGTCCTTTTGTTTGTAGTTTTAAGGTAGAATATTCTTTAAGGCTGGACATGGGTAAATGCTAGAGCTTTTACTTTACTTAATATGGAGGCCAAGGGTGTGATAAAACAGGAGCAGTGAAATGGCTTATGTAGTTGAAAAGCTATCCGTCCAACAAGGAAGAAGTTGTAATTATTTGCTAATATTACATCCTGTTACTACTACAGTCATTATTAAGGCCTGAACTGCTCCTTTTTGAAATAAAGTGAGATCTGTTAGCTGACCTCAACGTTTCTTTTGTAGAATATCAAATGCCCCATTATAAGAGGAAATGTATTTTCTGGGAACTACATTAGAGTAAGAGCAATTCCAGATAACTATGATGATCTCCATGAAATCAATCGATAACTTTGTTTCATTTCTTTCTTTCTTCGTCTCTAGTCTTCCTTGTCTCTTTGAACACAGTAAAACTTGAAGATGGGATTTGAGCATTCAGAGTGCATGCCTGCATTGTAAGTGTGACAACTTTCCCTCTGGCCCCCTACTGGTCCTTCTTCTAACCCATTTTTCTCCTTTCCACAAAGACTGTAAATTTACAGTTGTCCTCCACTTCTTTCTCAACTTCCCATAACCAGTTTCAAGCCCTGACCACTCTTTCTGATGTCTCATACCTCCCCACGCCTTTCTCCTGTGGTAACTGCTGGCCCCCAACTCAGGCCACTAAGAATCACATAGGGTTTTCTCTACTCGTCTCAGTTTGATTTAATTCTGTAAGCATTTACTGTCAACCTAAACAAGACTGCCTATTGGCCAAAATGACTTAACTGGCAAGTAGAACAATATAAACTCACTATGCTTCCACTAATATTACTCAATTATTGTTTTGAGTAGAATGGTCTTTAGAAATATTCTAGTTCAGCATATGCCAGTAGAGTTTGATGCAGTGATGGAAATATTCAGTATGTGTGGCTCCTGAGCATTTAAAATGTGCCTAATACCACTCACTCATGTAGCTGGTAGCTACTGTAAAATGGATTTTCTACATGATGAAATATATCTACAAAAGTTAAAGTTACACTAGCCCAAGGTCACATAGCTATAAAACTCCTAATTTTAAACCCTCTTTTTCTTTCAAAGCCCATGACCAATTCTAACTTTAAATGTATCCACTATCTGAAAATTTCTCACCATTTCTGCTGTTTCCACCCTCCTCTAAGCCACTATCTTCTCACTCTGCTTCCATTCTAGCATACGTGGATGGCATACCAGATCTTATATAAACTGGCTCCTACTACCTTTCTGGCATCATCTAATCAATCCTCACACTCATTCCCACTATGCTGTAGCCACACCTGGCTTCTTGCTACTTCTCCAACACTCCAAATACATATACATATATATAATAAACATGTAAATACATACACATTTATAGTGCCCTCTGCCTATAGAGCTCTTACCTCAGGTATCTTGTGTGTAAGGTTCCCCACTCCCTTCTTCTGAAATATCCCTTATCAAAAAGAAATATGTAGAGTTGTATGCCCATTTTTTATTTGTGTACCACTTGTGCATTTGATTTTTGTGGGAGAAATTGGCTAACTGCTGCATATACTGAGATGGAAATAGGGTCATCTGAGGAAAAACGCCAAGGGTCTGTGTCAGTATGAGGTCTGAATTAATATTATTCATCCCAGGATAAAGCTTAATACAAAAACTGGTCTGGAACCAGAAAAAATACTTAGGCTCTGAAAGGAAAACTTTGAAAATGCCTTATAGGGACACTTTGGATTCAAAACCACAGTGTATAAGGAATTCCCACCAAAAATATAATACCTGCTGAAGATGAGTTAGATGCGTAACTAGAAAACACACAAGACAACTATGTTAGTGAATCCATGCATTTATTTAGTCTGTGGCAATTGTTTCTTTTTGAAAAATTGCATCATCTGGTTCCTAATTTGTTTGCATGACATCTCACTTTCTGATTGAAGAAAAGAATCTGTATTTAAAAAGGAGATTGAAATAAATTAGAATTTTAAACATTACTATAATACTTGTGTGATCTGCCCTCCTGTCTGCCTCCTATCCCTATAGTGATATAATTCACAGGAAGAGATGACACCCATGCCTATGTTGTATATGCCCCATTCTTTTTCCAGCTTTTATCTCCTTTCATCACGAAGACAATTCACAAACACAATTAAAAACACCTTTCTTTTAGAGAGGCAGAATAGAAATCCTTTAAGAGTTCTTTTGGACTTTTGGTTTTAAGGTTTTTACCTTTTTTGTGTGTGAGTGTTTAGCATCTAACAGCATAAGCAGCATTTATACTGTTACCAAGTAAGATATAAGTGCACCTCGTTCTTCCTATACATCAGAATACCCATGTGCAGTTTTCATGTCAAAAAGCATGAACACTTATACAAATAACAAGATGGATTAGTGTCTCAGTGTTTTATGATAACCTAAACACACTCAGAAAAGCCATTTTGAACTCCTTGAAACCAACCCAAGACTTCTACTTAGATGCAGAAAATACAAAGGATAAGAGATTTTCCCTGTCAAAAATAATTATCCTATTTAATAAAAGTTTTGAGCAATGACTACATCGAACATCATCATACAAGATGCTCATAATAAAAAGTGAGAATGGAAAGTTTCAGTCTGTGCCGTCATGGAGATTTTAGTAAAGTAAAACACCTTTAACAAAAAAAAGAAAGAAACTAGAAGAAGGCCCTCAAGATTCTAGAAATGGAACTGATCTTGCAGATAACTCTTTAATTCCCTGAGTATTTCTGGCTAAGAGTATTAAGGTAAGGGAACTTAGCAGGTTTTATAATTGCTTTGTTCCTCAACCTAGATGTTTAGCTCAAAGCATTCCAGTTATGTCTGAATATTTGGCTTCCCTAAGAAGATGCATGTAACAAAAAGCCCGTCCTATAGAATTAAACTGTCAGCTTGCCCAGACATTTTTTCCATGCCCAGCAGGAATCCTCCTGGTGGGGATAGCATGTTTCCTCTGTACCAGGATCTGTATGATCATTACTTCACATGCTCTCTGCATGCCGTCCACTGGATTGTTTAGTGTCTATGAATGTTCTCCATCCAGATCCTTGCCTACCTTTATTCTCATCTGCCATATATGTGTCAGCTTTATTTCAGCTTACTGCCCCTTCCTAAACCATCTGAACTGCTTAAAGGTCTTCCTGACAAGGCACCAAGCCTAAAAGAACAAATCTAGAATATCTACATATCTTCTAGGCCAAGCTTCCAGCGCTGTCTACCAACAGGGCTAGGCACTAGCAACCTGTTACAGTAGGACATCGTGGGTCTCAATTTAGGTATCTGGTTTGCTAATAACTTACTGTAAAACTCCAAGTATTGTTTCTCTCTCCTAAATGTTCCTTATAGGCTATTATAAAAATTTATAGACATGTTGCTGGAGTATATGGGGGAAATGCAATGTAATCAGTGATTGTAAATCTAGATCCATATCTATATAACTGGAGAGAAAAGAGAATATTATTTCATTATCTTGGATGTATTCTAGATGCCAGTTAGTGATAGAGCAAAAGAGAGATGATCCCTGACTTTTAGTAGCTCATGACTTAAAAGGAATAGTGTGATTTACATGGGATTTGAATTAAGATTATTTGCATAGAATATTGAGATTTATTGAACTTGATGGATTACAATTACCTGTACTCTTGGAACTCCAAAATTACTTGATAAAAGCCTGCTACACTGAACTTTTGAAAGGTAATTCTTAAAACATGTAATATTTAGCATGAAAGCATTTCACTTCTATGGATGAAATGAATTGGGTGAAATAAATAGAACATGGCATGTTTTCTTTTGCTAGAATATCATATGTTCTTGCCTTCATTAACAAAAGGAAGGGAGCTAATAATGGAGACTTACTAAGGATCAGTTTTTCTTTATACATATTAGCTCATTTAATCATAATATAAATCTAATAAAAGGGATATATTGAAAAATTTCACACAATGGAGAAAATGTGGCTCAATATAACTGAACAAATTTCTAAAAATAAGATAACTAGTAGATGAAACAGTATCGAAATTTGAGTGCATTTCTCTTTGATCACAAAATCGAAATGCTAAACTGCTTCCTAAGAAAAATATCTATCTAAAACCAGAAAATAAGGAACTAAAATTTAGTTAATCCTTAAATTGCCCTCCTTGGATATGTTAAAATTTTATTGGTAGGTTTTTGGTGATACAGTACATATACCAGTATCCTTATATAGGGATATTTTTGTTTATGTATTCATGGTGTATCTATTTTCCTCTTTTATACAAATTTTCCACTGAGTAGGTCTAAGAAATGAGTCTGCTTAAGCTGTTACTATGTCCCTATTGACAAATCTCTAAAACATGATAGGTACTCAATATATATTTATTGGACAAAATAAATAAGTGATCATAGAAATATTTTTTGAATCACATACCTTGGTTTTACAAATCATATACCTTGATACCTAATGAATATCATTAATCACTTGAGTTACAGATGACTTTATGTTGGTGTATTTCTTCTATTTCTTTTCTTTAAGTCATCAATGTGATTGTTAAAAACAGATCAACTGAATAATGCCTGGGTTATTTATCGTGAATTTTATAATCTATCATGTTTACCATAAAATGCGATTGGGGAATTAGTTTTACTAATATTTAGTTTAATATTATAGTGGAAAAAATGTATTAAGCACCTATTTCTAGGTGTTGTTTAGTGCAAGGAGCCACAGTATATAATGGCTTCAATGTTACATCTATATTTCTTGATAGTCCTGGGCTTAGTGATTAAGTATAACATCTCTCCAACCACAATAATTGTTTACAGCACATTGACACGACTCACAGAGCTCACATGGATTTTAGTTGTCATCTTTTTTCTCTTTACTAATTTCCAAGTTGTTATAATTTTTCATTTCATTATCACTCTGTGTGTTTTTCTCTTTATACACTGTACTTTATTTCTTCTTTTTATTTTGCTTCCTTTGATAACTTAACAGTTGGGTATAAGGAAATGTCACTTTTATAGGTTCTCTTTTTTCTTTTCACTGAAAGGAAGGAAATTAGTACCTTGATGGAAGACACACTGTATAGAACATGTTAGCAACATAGAACTTTTAAGGACATCTCCATGTTGTTTGTGTTATTATAAAACATAAAGGAACCATCACAATTTTCTACCCCAACTCTCATTATCATACAAACTGATGGTAGTAAAAATATGATTCTTGTAAAGCAAACTAGGACCTCCTTAACATTGTTTTCAGCACAAGTGAGAAGCAAAGATCAAATTTCTGCCTGTGTGAAAAGAACTGGATGAGAACAGGTACATATGATTAAATTACCATATATGTTTCCTTGGATAGCCTAACAACTTTAATGCGCTCTGCGCTCTCAGAAAAGGTCTGGGATACTGAACATAGAAAATAGGAGTCTGTGATGCACTTCTGAATAACATTTCAGTCACTAACAGACTCACAAAATAGTTTTGTGAGGATAATTTTACCATACTATTTAAGACTTGCTTCACAGAATGTTACTTGGCAGAATTTTTACTTTTTAAAGGAATTACCACCATTTTCTTCACCACTATACAGTTAGCAGACTCGCTCTGTATAAACTAAAGCACCATAGGTGATATATAGATTGTGCCATCAAAAGTTTATACTATGACAAATGCTGCCTAGAAAATATCATATGTGAAGAAAAAGCCAAAAACAAGTACAATTCTATCATGTCTAAAATATCTTTTCAGAGTTCAATTGAGTAATAACTGTGGTACAAATAATATGTCATAGTTTACTAAGATCAATTGCAAAAGCTATCTTTACTGATTTTGAAATTAACCAAACAGAATAATGTCATTATTAAAATGTCTGTGAGGCTTCTAGGTCTCTGCAGGACAGATAGGACTAGTTATAATTTATCCCTCCATACATCCTCCAAAAACACTACAGTAGTACAAGGAGATCAAAGCATCTGTTAACACCCATGCCTGACCAAGTCTAGAAGATGGCACATGATCACCTGAATACCTGATACCCACAGAACTGGATCCAGAGCCCACACCCTCAGAGAGAGGCAGGGAATTTTTCACAGGGTGTGGTATACAGTGGGGTTGTGGTGATGGCCCATCAAAGGTAGAGCCTGATTGGCATCAGCCTTGGAAAGACTGGATTCTATTTTTAGTGGGGAATTACTGAGAGAGGCTTAACAAAATCATTTCAGAAGGGGAAAAATAAATCACCAGATCCAAGAGAGACAAGGGACATATGACTGTAAGTATAGTAAAGGACCTGCAAGGAAGTTATACATATAAAAGGCAAGCAAAGAAGATCTTTTAATTATCTAGCTGGAGTCCCTGAAGAAGAAAAACAAAATAATTGAAATGTATAATATAAAACCATAACTTAAGAAATTAGAAAAAAACTCTAAGGGAACTTTACTGAAATAAGAGAGGATTTTAATGTCATATTGAAAGTTCCCATCAAATATGTGGGAAAAAATTCAGTTCCATCAATTATAAGACCAATTATAGTTAACCATTTTAGTTATAGAAAAAACCTTTTGGCCAACCATCAAATATGAAATAATTACCAAGCAAAAAAAAGTGTTGGTATATAACTCTTCAATAAAAATATACTATGCAATAAGGAGTGGAACAATATTTTTAAGAATATCGAAGAAAGAATCAGTGAAAAAAGTAATATTCAAGGCTATAAAAATACAGTTTTAACATGAAAAACTGGGAATTTTGGACTCATGAGCTCTTCCTGAGAGACATCCTAGAGGCAAACTGTCGTGCCTGAGGGTTTCAGCCCTGGGCAAGTTCACTATGGATTCAGTGAGAGACTGAGAAATGACAACAGAATGTTCTTGGGGGAAAAAGGGTTGTACCTGGCTTTATTCTCAGGGCAGTAGGTGGAGCACTAGGATCACACCCAGCAGTCTGCAGGTCCATAAT